ACTATAAGATACCCTTACTTTCCATTCAGGATTTAGCAAATGCATGACATCCTGAAGGACCCTATTAGAACTCTTATTACAATCAAACAATCTGTCAAACATATAAGCAATGGATATAGAATTAGTCTCAACAATTAATTTCTTAATATTCAAATTTTGAGCTATCATAAAACTAGATTAGACACCCCAAATTTTGACATCTATAACAAAACAAATACCAATCTTATTTACAAAACTTGCCATCCCTTCCTCATACTCATTTTTAAATAATCTCCCACAACGCATGGTTGTCCTCAAGAAACTCCATCAATATTTAACTTCACCTATCCTTACGTTATTCAGCTTATATTCCTCCAAGCCTTCCCTCCATTCACAAGGTCTTCACCAAAGCTTGTGTCCTTAACTCTTCGTACATATTTCAAAACAAGCACATCCAAAATTTCACTCTCAACAAAAGAAATATCAAATAACTTATTATTTTTCCAAAACCACATAAACCAGATTGCTATCCCAAAAATGGTTCCCCAAGATCCTTTACAAGAAAAATTACTCACCATCCGCTCTTCCTTCCTCATATTGAAGAACTTATCCCCCCCTCAATACTCAACAACTTGAGCCAAACTCTCTTGCTATCTTCACAGTCCCTTAAAGCATGCACAACATCCTCATCCTCTCTCATGCATTTACTACATAAAGCACTCAGTCCCCATAGCATCCCCCTTTTCTTTGATGTCAACAAACTTTCCCCAACAACCAACCAAAGGAAAACTTGTACTTTCATTAGCCCCTTCCCGTCACACAAAACTTTCCATTTTTTATCCCATTGCCCTCTTGGCCATCAACTAATTACCTCATACATATCAGCCACTGCAAATTCTCCTCTACTATTCCCCAACCACATCACCTTATCCCTTCCCCTCACACTTTTACAAGGTAAAACAGCTTTAATACATCCACAATAACAACTTCAAGATATCTCTAAAGCTTCATAATATCCCAATTTCGATTATTGCAAAAATCACTAACCTTCATTGGTCTCTCCTCATCACTCAACTCCACAATATTCTCCCCCTTTAGAACACCAACCCCCCTTAACCATTTATCTTTCCAAAACCTCACATCTTCCCCGTTGTTGATCTTTCAACCCACATTTTCCATTACACTAGGCCAAAGACTCCCTATCTTCTTCCACAAGGGCGAATCACCATTCTTCGGAGTACACTTCATAACCAAATCACCGCGTCGTGCATACTTAGCATGAAGCACTCTAGAAGCCAATTTATGGGGTCTAGCAATCACATTCCACCCAACTTTACACGGCAGTGCTTCATTCATCATCTTCAAATTCTCCAATCCAAATCCCCCCTAAACCTTTTGGCCCACACATTCTATTCCGTCCCACAGCACGCTTTAAAACCCTGGGGAAAGTCGTCAATCCCTGGGGCTTTAAAACCCCCTTATATTAAAAACAGCACGCTTTGCATCCTCATCAGTCACACGCCTATTCATCCTTGTAAAAACAGTATTGTCAATTGCACCCCACTGCTGTTTCGTAACATTCAATATTCTCTTCAGTGAACAACTTAACATACGCATCACGAACCATACCTTTCAACTACAGCTCAGCATCCACCCACACACCTTTCTCATCCTTCAGCACACTCACTCTGTTCCTTCTTCGTCTTGCTGCAGTTCTCAAATGATAAAATTTTGTATTTCTATCTCGGCTTCTCAACCACTCCCCCCTAGATTTCTAAAACCACATAACTTCCTCCTCTTTCATCACATGCATTAACTCAACCCTCCAACTCCTCATTCAATTCTTCCAAATAAGGGGTTCAAATATTTTATGCGTGGAATAATAATATATGAGCTTAAATTTTATAATAAATATTGCCGTTCTGTAAATAAAAATCACGGGCTCACGAGGATCATGTAATATGCCAGAGTACACGATAAATCGGAGCACGTAATATTCATTTTTACATGTCTTCACAGTTCATCCCATTTTTTTCACGCCGTTAGTTAAACATGATTAGTCGCCCACGGTGAAACCAATAGCACGTAATCTTCTCAAGTATTAGTTGAATTTGATAACGCAGCAAGATTTAATAATGGAAATACGACAAAAAAATTTCTTTGAAATATGCAAATGGCAACAAGATTCTGTGATAATTCTTTTTAAATTTAATGGGACCCTTTTGCCACTAATATCTTTTTTTAAAATGTCTATAATGCTCCCAATTTAAAATTAAAAAAAGCAATTGGTAGAGCAAAACTTATTATTTATTATCCCATTTTAGTTACTGTCAAGAGAAAAGTAATTATTGTTGAAACCAAAATTGTTGCTGATATTTACAATATTTTTAAACTTCAATGATAAGTTATAATTACTCATACAAGTTTTAGTTATTGTCAGAAGAAAAGTAATCATTGATATTTACAATGCTTGAATTTTAATTATTAAAAATTTTTAAGAATGGGACTGATCACTTGCTATCCTATTGTAGCTATTATTAGAAGAAAAGTAATCTTTATTGCAATTAAAATAATCACTTACTGTTTCTTTTTTATATTAAATTAGGAAAATTATAGTCATTTCATAAATGACATCGATTTATTAAAGGTCCTAAAGAATTTGAGAATAATTATCATATTTTGCAAGACTTTTTTATCATTTACATATTTTAGAGTAGTTTTCTGCCATTTTCCCTTTATTAGTTTCATTTGGTATCATTATTTAGGAAAAATAATAATAAAATCCTTCTAAAATATAAATAATAATTTAATTTCTTGAAATGCCATAATTTTTCTAAAATCTCTAAAGACTTTTTTGTCATTATTAAATTTATATAAATTATTAAATTATCCTTGTTAAAAAAATAATTTACAAGTTTTGTTTAAATATTTATAATTTTTTTTTATATTCGCAACAATGCAATATCAAATCACAACTTCACATGTTAAATTCTTTATTTATTGCTGTATTGTTGTCTATATAAAAAAAAAAGTTGTGAATATTTAAACAAAACTTGTGAATCATTTATTTTTAACAAGGATAATTTGATAATTTATATAAATTTAGTAATAACATAAAATTTTTTGAGGACTTCAAAAAAATTATGACATTTTGAGGGATCAACTTATCATTTATATATTTTAAAGAGATTTTATTATTATTTTTTCCATTATTTATACCCTTTTTTGGCAATACCTTTATTCTATACAAATTATGCAATTAACCAAGGCAATTCTTCTTTTTTTTCCCCCTGGGCCATGTTAGGGCAATTAATTCAAGCAGCAACTCTAGTCGCACAATACACACGTAATTCATCTCGCTGAGGACAGCTTTGCATTTTAAACTTCGACTCGTACGGCTTCGGAGCTAATCTAGATTGCTCGTTCACGCAGTATTTGACCGTAGATCTATTTTTTTTTTTTTAATTTTTTAGTGAATACAGCACATATAAATATAAATTTAACTCAATTCAATATTATTTATCTACCAATTTTTATAAAATATTTTTTAATCTCTTAATCTGAACACTTTTGATTTTATTAATAAAAAATACTGATATTGAAATTTCAAATATTAATAAAAATATTATCAAATGTTTGCATAGTGAGTAATTAATGTTATAAAATTAAGGCACAAGATTAGATGATTAAATGCATACTTTTACTTCTCATTTTTAGACCAGAGAAAAATAAGAAAAAATTTCAGTGAAAGACCCTTGATCAAACATAATAAAAAGAGGACCTTTGAATTTTTAAAATTTCATTGAAGGACTCATTCGGATTTTCGTTTGAAGTTATGACAAAAATGATAAAATTGCTTTTATTTAAATGAACAATATAAATGACTTATTTATTTACATACTGTATGTTGTTCATCTATTTACAGAATGTTGTTCTTTCCTTACTTCACTTGTTTATAATTCTACTTTCACTTGATTTCATTCTAAGATAATAAACAAGTAAAGTAATAAAACAAACAACATTTCCTAAATAAATGAATAACATACAGTATGAGAATGAATAAGTTATCTTATCATAAAATCAACATTTGAAATAAAATTAAATGAAACTAGAGTTATAAACAAGTGAAGTAAGGAAACAAATAAATAAACAATATACAGTACAGAAACAAACAAATCATTTATACTGTTCATTTAAATGAAGATAATTTTATTATTTTTGTTACAAGTTCAAATAAAAATCCATACGAATCCTTCAATAAAATTTTAAAAATTTAAGGATTCTCTTTATCATTATGTTTGGTTTAAGAGTCTCTCACTAAAATTTTCTCCAAAAAAAAAAATCAATTGAGAAAAGGACAGACAGTCAAGGACATATAACAAATGAATTATAATTTCACAAGAATGCGGCACAACGTGGTTTTGGGGGTAGATGCACCGGCTTTCATCCAAAGAACTCCTCTTCATATTACAAGTATGAAAAATATATTGTTGATTGGAATTTTAAACTCTCTGACTCATCCAGAGGCTACGATAGAGTAAAAGTTGCTCCATTGTTTCATATTAATATCAGTCTGAATCATGAATTGTTACCAGTCCTGAATAAAGGCACTGCAATTAAAGAAAGTTATCCATTCATCAACGTCAAATAAGGAATATGGTGATAATCACTTCTTGCACCCACCAACATGTTTCACGAGAAAATCAAAAGAAAAGCAGTATTTAAGTATTTATTTAAAAAAAAAATCGCAGCTACTCATGCAGGGCATGATATGAAGGAGGGACTGCAGGAGACGGATGATAAGAGAATTTTAAACAGTGACGCAGGTGGTGGCACTCATGGCTGCTTTGTTCATATTCTTCGTGAAAGCTCACCCGTACGATTCGGCCAAATCCGAAACTAGCTCCGTCCATTCTCTTCCCTTGTGCGAGTCTTTCTTTTATTTATTATTATTTGTTATTAGTTTATGGCCAGTGGCTTTGTGTGTGGGTGCGTGTAAGCTGCTAATGACATCCCTTTCTCGCTGTCTGTCTCACATTCAGTTTGGGTTTGACCCGTGGCCAGCCATGGGCAGCTCTTTCCTCTCTACTCCCATGGCGACCCCACCCTTGCACTCTCCAGAGGATCTTCCTTAGGTTTTTCTTAGGCCTCTTTTTCCGAGCACAAAAGCTTTATTCATCTTTCTTCTCCTTTCCCCCCTGAAAGCGAAACCCTAAAGTTCATCAGACACCTCAACATAACATAAAGGTTCTCCCGTCTCCTAATCCCTCCAGCCTTCAACCTCCCTGTGCCCATCATCATAGAGATCTATATATCCCTATGATTTTTCATTCTCTTCTTTTGATACCATCCCTTTTCTCCGACTGAAAGACAACGACAAGATTTGCTTCCGCTGCAGATCAGGGATTCCAAGATTCTGCGAGGCCTTTATCAGAATTCAGAAGTTCCATTTCATGCCTTCTCCATCATCAACCCCCACGTAATTCGGTTTCTGTCTCTCTGGTGCCACCGCCTGATCCTCCCTTCTCTTGCCCCTTGCTGGTTCTACTGTTCACTTTTCATTTAATTCCTGCATATCTTGATCATTAGCTTCACTTGCAAGCTATGGACTCTGGGAATAGTGGGAGTATCTCGTCTAGTGGGGATGAAGAGTATGATTCACGGGGTGACATAGTTCCGCCCTTTCTCAATCCTCACCCCCAATTTGGCTCTTTCTCCGCTGTTTCTCACCACCACCACCACCACCACCATCAAACTCACCATCCTCCTATGTTTGATCTTTCTCCAAATTACCTCCAATCTCTCTCCTCCCAAACCCAGCCCAACTCTAATCCCGGTCCTTTCCTAAATTTGGACACTGGTGCTAATTCTCAAGACCCTCGATCCGAACCCAACTGCGCTGCTCCTCCAGTTTCATCACCGTCTGCAGCAGCCACAAAGCAGTCTGTGCTAAGCACAGACCCGTCGCTGCAATTGCGCTCTAACGCTCGAGTGTCGGCACCGCCAGCCAATGCAGTACGGAACCCTAAGAAGCGAACCAGAGCATCGAGACGAGCACCCACCACCGTTCTCACCACCGACACCTCCAATTTCAGAGCCATGGTTCAAGAGTTCACCGGTATCCCTGCGCCTCCCTTTTCAGGCACCTCCTACTCTCGTCGCCTCGATCTCCTCTCGGCTTCCTCCTCCTTGCGCTCCTCCACTGCTGCTTCATCTCCCTTGGATACCACCACCACCACCTCCACCGCTCCCTTTTACCCTCTGCGTCCTTCTCCTGCACCCCATCCTAACCCAAATCCTTTGCTTTTGTCTTCCACTTCATCATCGAGTTCTCCTTCTTCAATGTTGATGTTACACAATCATGTGGCTGATGCTATAGCTTCCACTTCCACTGCTAACAACCCCTCACCCTCCATTAACTACCAAACTGATGCGGGTGTACCCTACAGCCATCCGCAAAACATGCTAACCATGCAGATTCTTCCATTCCAAGTGCCCGCTCTTCACCCATTGAACAGTCCCGCTCTTCCTGCTGGATTCAGTGCCAAGGCTCCACCGAGCTCATCCATACCTTCCCTCGAGGACCAGTTGGGCATGAGTCATGCTCATTTTATGAGTGCTCATCCCCGTGTCAGTAGTTCAGAGGCCGAGGATATGCCACTGAGCGGCAGCGGCGACCACGATATTGGAGTGCATGCAGCCAAAGATCAGCCGAGGTTCTTCCATGTCACCGCTCCTTGTAAACTCAATTTCGCTGGCACTTCTCCGTCGACGGCCTTCAACCCTGACAAGAACTTGGAAAATAACTCCGCCAGAGGGGAAGGCAACATTGATTCCTGGATTTGTTCGTCCGATTAGCAAGAATCATGCGATCACTAACGAGTCGTGATCAACAGTGCAGAAGTGAATCATTACAGCGTAGAATTGGTTGCGGCAATGAATTCACATCATCAGCATCATCATCATGTCGATATATCGTAGTGCAGGTGCCGGTAGTTAGCATTTCTAGCAACGTTTCTCTTTCTTACTTTTTTTTTTCTTTTCGTTTTCTTTTTTGTTTTAATTTATTGTTTAAAAACATGACCAAGTAGTATAAATTAATTCATCGTTAAGATACGTGCTTTATGAATTATGGGTGATGGTCAGATATATGTGTTCCCTTCTTTGAAGTATACCACTAATTAAATAATGGAATAAAGGAGGGAGAATCACGAAAATGCTAGACGGGTCCATAATAATATAGTATTGATGTGTTATTAGTTTTACAGAGGTAAGTATAGAACGGCGTGGAGGGCAAAGTATACATAGTCGGTTGCTGAATGGAATCTGCGGCAGCTAAAGAATGCCAGATACAGGAGGACTGTAGCTGGTACGGATGCAGGTGTGGCGGGATATATGAGAGTGGGGAAAGGGCTGAGCCAGGAGGCGGACCTCTGTAAGACAAAATGAATAATTGAGATGGTGGAAGTGAAGAGTAAATAAATAAATAAAGAGGAGGGAGATTAAAGTAGACACATGGGGGGTTGCAAGTTGCAGCCAAATGGTGCGGGTCGGAGGCCACCCCTTGTCTGTTGGGTACTTGGCTTGGGTTCAATTCTGTGTCCAAGCCTCCTTGATATCCTTAGTCTGGCTGGTTAAGTGTTCATCGGATTCAGATCACACACCTAAGGCCTACCTAGATATTCGGCTGCATCGTCTACCTCGGTCTATAATCTATATGCTATGTACGTGCGTCTCTCTTTTCAGTTTTCATTCTTTTTCTACTCTGCCAGTGTGCCTTGCGTGACCCCTTGAAATACCATCCCCATTTCCTGACCACCGGGTCCTCCTCGTTGCTTTTCCTGCTTCATTACTGTCATTTTGTTTGCATGATTATATTTCATTTCCACCATTTCTTTTCTATTTGCTCAAACTAAATAGTAGGCTCTCAAGCTTTAATTGATTAGTTAATTAATAGTATGATGAAAATGTGCGCACATTTTCATGCCAATTTAATGGATGTATTTTTCGGTTGTGGATTATGCTGGCCATCATTTTAAAACTTGTCCCGCGTTGGTTGTTAATACCATAACTAGAGAATACCCTGTGCGCGGTGCAAATAAAATTGTTGGAAAATATGTTGTGGGGTTTATGCTATTTAATTGTCAGCAAACAATGTTATAATTTCTGAACATTTTGCAATTAATTAAATATTTAGTGTAATTATTAGTGTCAAATTTTAAATAGAAAAAATAGTTAATATTTGGGCACATAGAAAAGTATATATTGTAAAGAGATTGATGTGTGTGTATGGTTCTATATCTCCAAAAGAAAAAAGATTTAATCAATTATTAATTAACATATTCTCCCCATGCCTTGCATGTTTTGTGCAACAAACACTAGATTAAACAAAACGTGCTAACCCACAAAATAACATCAATTTCGTAAATGCCCCGAAAATGAAAATAAATCCAATAAGACAAATTATCAATTAACAAATATTAACATCTTATAAATCGTAAATCCTCAAAATCAAAATAGAGGGAGAATTTTTTTTTTTAAAAAAATCATTTAAGTTTGGACCCATCGAAAGGGAACTATTGCTAACAGTATTTATTGCATTATAACGAACAATATGAATATGGATGAATGAAGTTTTTTTTTAATTTATGGTGTGTTTATATATATATATAAAAGATAATACATGCTTAACATGTTGGCTAATTATTATTGGTGATGAACAGTGCCTCACGCTGCCGGTGGTGGCTTGTAGGGGTTTGGTAAGCGGAACGCAAGCCGCCTTTGTATTTCGAAAAGGCAAAGAATATCAAAGGAATGGAAATCTATTTGTTCTGCCTTACTATCACTTCCATCATTTCGTTTTGTCTTGCTTTTCCACGGCGAATGGCATTTTCTTGTGGAGCAATTGGCGGCAACACTAGTGGCTTCTTTTACCTACCATCCTCTACCTATCTATCCTTGTTTCTCAACTATGTCACCCGTTTGCATTTATATTCCCTTTCCACGTGATCTCACTTAGCCACGCTTTACTGTTTTCTTATTTACACGAGATTACCCAAAATTTTATCATAACATAAATACCCAAGGATGTTCTTCCCCTGCGTTTAATGGAGATGTCAAGGATAACTCTCATTTTATCATCTCAATCACTTTTACGTGTGGTCTCTATAAAAATGTGTATAAATCACGTCTCTCGTCTAATGATGTGAAATTTCTATAGAATCAATGGCCACAGCCTTTGTCGGGTTCTATGCCTGAAATTATGTATGGTGCGAGATCGTAATTTTAAAAGAATCATGCGTGAAAGAACAATATATTTTTCGCGATGGCCACCCAAAAAAAAAAAACCTTTCCAGCAGTGTTCAAAACGTCAGTGACACTCTTCTTATTAAAAGAACGTAAGTTACGCTGTTGACCCTTTTTAAATAACGCCACTTGTAGTTAAATGTTTGTAATTTGTATTAGTATTAGTTCATCAAAAATGGGTCCGTCTTCCAGCACCGTGGTGCTCATCAGTTAAAAAAAAAATTCTGGGCCATCTTTTTAACTTTAATTTTATATTTATTAAAATAATAATTTATAATTTTTTTTATAAATATGTTCGTCATCAACTTGGATAATACTGATCTAATTTTATATTATAATTTTTTTAAATTGATCATCTACATGTATTCTGAATAGTCCAGATTCAACGTTAAATTTTTATCTACAACATCCAAATTTAAAGTTTTTATTTTTTATTTTGATGAATACAATATTAAAAAATAAAATATATAATCTTTTAATTATAACTTTTTTTAAGAAATACAAGTTAAAAATTTTAAATCTAAATTATACAAAATATATCTGAATAGTCAGCATATAAAAAATATAAAAATTTTAATATTAAATTGAATCTTTTAAATTAAAAAAAATACTAGATTTGTCATGAAAAAAATTATTAAATTTTTTATATTTTTTATGAAATTTTATTTTAAAAAATATATAATAAAAATTAAATTAATTTTTAAAATTTAGACCATCTAAATGTAAAAATATTGATAGTTCAAATTGCTTTACAGCACTCAAGATGAATCCTATCAAAATTGCCAATCACATCTTAGACAGGGACAGGTCTGTAGAACCTTTACATGTGAATAAATCGATCAACGGGGTCGTTTACCAAGTTATACACGCTTAATCAGGCTAAGCTGCCCGCCACACAACAAAAAAAGGTAAATTAAATATTAAAATTTAAAAATAATTGGCTCTTTGCCATTGAGACTCGCAGCGGGAGGTGAGCAAAATTAAAAATCAAACCAAATCAATTCGAATTAAATTAAATTATATTTTATTTATTTAATTTGGTTTTTTTAAAAAAATTAAATTGATTGGTTTGATTTGATTTAAAAAAATTTTAACCAAATAAACCAAACTAACAAATTATACATATTATTCTTTTTATATTTTTAAAAATGTAAATAAATTTTTATTTAGGTGAATAAGAAATATCTTTCTATCACTTGTAACAGTAGTATTATTTTATTTAATGTGATGTTTTAATTTTTTATTTTTATAATTTAATTTTTAATACAATAATATTGAATCTTATTATTTTTTTCATGATTTATGATAGGAAATTGTTATTTTTTATTGGGCCTTCAACATTAAAAAAAATGGATAGAAGAATAGATGAATAATTAGATTTTATTGACCCAAATCAAAACCCTTGATCCAAATAAATCGATCGAATCAAACTATTATAATTTGATTTAATTTTAATTTGATTTAATCATGCATTTTGATTCAATTTGAACTAAATTTTATCTATAATTCAGTAGATCAATTTTAAAGAAATTGAAACCGAAATGACCGAATGCCCATCCCTATGCAGCTGCCATCCAGGTGCCGTCTCCATCTGAAGCAACCCAGATGACCGTCCACACTCCACACTGCGTTGTTTTGTCTTTTGTGTGTGTGTTTTCTGGCTCTTATTTTCAAAAATAAGAAATAAAAAAGGACAAATGCAAGCAAGCAACTACAATTGCAACAGAACATTTTATTTGGGCCAAAAAAAAAAACAGAAAAATTGATTTAAATTGAGTTCATGTTGCACTAATTAATTGCTCACATGTGGCCGTTTCCTAGGGAAGAAAGGATTTTATGAAATTCGGCTTGATTATGGCGCGATTTATGAATAGTTTAGTGCCATGCTAACAACCATGAATGTGATGATTAGGGGTGATTGAATGAGCAGTGGGGTCCGTGATTGTGTAAGATCTAAGTTATGAATTAAATAAACAACGCTTAATTTGTGGGTGCCGTAAATAGACAATCAATAAATAGTAGTGCAAAGATTCATGAATCACAGCAACTGGGCAGCATCGGTGGAAGTTGTTAAGAAATCTGAAAAATCTCTGTGGCCTAAAATAAAAAAGGAAAATTTCATTTAACATCCGTGATCAAATTTTATGGGTTGAAAATTCACTTTAGATCTGGAATACTGAAGTGAAATTAAAATGTAAAGTAAAGTTATTCCATTACTCTTCATCCCGTCTAATTATTCATTGAAGTTGTTCATTTTTCTATTTGAAATTGCTTATTAATTTATAAAAATTATTTATATCATTACTTAATCATAATTTTAGTTCAAGTATTGTAATCATGATAAAATAAATTATTCATTATTCATAATAAAATTATTAATTAATTTACGTAAATTTTTCGGTGTCATGTAGTTCAAAGTTGAAAGAGAATTAATTTATCATTTTTTGTGCATTTTAATTTCACCTCGATGCTTTTAAAATGAAGTTTCAGAGTTAAACAAGTTTCTTTTATTAAATATATTCAGGGAGTCTTGAATGAATTTTTCCCCCAAAAATAATGCTAGGAAAGAGGTCTTAAATACCGTGATCCCCACACGCCATGGCTTGTTTTAATTAAACGTCTGAAAGCTGAGAAAGAGATGCCATTTAAAGGGACATTGACTGGATGTATACTTTATCCTACCCAATTTAAAAAAGTTACATATTAATTATTATAATTATATCTAAAATCAAATCATTAGACTAAATAATTCTTGTGTGAAAATAAATATTAACTTTACCGTTGATAATTTCAAAAAATTACAAAAAATACTGAATGTAATAAAAATGGAAGAGTAGCGTGGAATTGACAGTTGCAATTAAACATAACTTATTTTGTTAGCTAATGATATTTAAAATTACATATTATTGTCATATTTACCCTCATTTAATTGATAGAGTGTCTCAGATAGAAAATCTTATTAATTACACTCATAATTAAGGTATTTTTATAAAAAAACTTACTCTCCCTTTTAGCATTATAAGCCACATTTAAATAAATTACATTCTGGATAAATTATTTAATTATCTTTAAAATTATTTGTTTTTATATTTGCCAGGAGCCTCAAATAAAATTTTTTACTAATTACATCCTTTAAGTCATGGTATTTTTGAAAAAAATATTATTAACTTCACTTTGAAAAGCCAATGATATCTTATATTCCCTCCATTTTTAATATAAAAGAATTTTAACTAACTCACACAATTTAAAAAATTAATTCATTAATTACAATAATTACGTCTACAATTTAAATGTTTAGACTAAATATATTTATAATTAATGTTTACTTTTTTCTCTAATTTAACGATATTATTTATCTATGAGAGACGAATTGAAAAAGAAAATGTAATTGATGCTTATTGAAATTTGTAATAAAAAAGAACAAAATTATAAGATAGTTCCTCTCTTATATTTGAAGATGGGTGAAGTATTTTTTTTTAACACAATAATTTTAAAAAATGTATGATAATACTAAACGGGTGAAGTATTAATTATACATTGAAAAAATTATAATGTCTTGTATTTCTTAATATATAATTAATAAGGGATAGAATAAATTAAAATAGGATCATTAATTGATAGAGATTGATGACCTTGAAGAAAAAAGATGATTAAAAAATGTTGAATTGTAATATTCCATCACCTTCATTTTTGTCCTAATTCAAGTGAAGGCAGAGGTGCTTAAAATAAGTGGGAGGGGAGATTTAGGAAGCGTAATGGAGACATGGAATGGAGTGAGTAAGGAAAATGAAAGAATGATGGCGGGCGGACATGACGGGCTGTGTGGCCCCCACTGCCACAGAATATTGTGGTTTGCATCCCTCTCATCCTTCGACAACTGCCGCCGTCCCTCACAATTCGCATCATTAAATTATACGTCTCCTATTTAAATTATAGGACGTTCTAAAAAAAATTATCTTAAAATACAAAATATTTTAAGTAGGTTAATATTTTTTTAAATACATTAATTTTAATATTATTTTTTTTATAATTAATTTTTATCATTTTTTTAATATATTGAATAATGAATATTTTAAAAAATTTATATTTTTATTTTAAAAAAATAAATTTATTAAGTGTATTTAATGATATTTATTTGTCTATAAAATTCTATTAAACTTGTAAGTTTTTTGTCTGCATCAAAAACATATTAACTCTTGGGTCTTGTTTGGGTACTCATTAAAATTTTATCTAAATCATATTTAAAATGTGTTTCTACTAGATTCAATAAATAATCTGATGCTCTATATATGTTTTTATTAAATATAAATTGAAATTCAGATGACACCTAATGAGTATAACCTCCACCACTGTAAAACTTAAGCTATGTTCGTAATCATTTGATTGGTTGTTTTCATGTGTAATACTCCCTTTGTTTTTATTTATAAGAGAAACTATTGCTTTTAATTTGTTTTTTATATAAACAAAATTATATTTTTTTAATAAATATTTATTGCAAGCTTCTCAAGTTACTTCTCATAATTTTATTATTTATAATTATAAAAAAATTGATGAAGAAATAATTAATATAATTAATTAATTTTTTCAATTGCGCGATGCATTTTAAAAAAAAAAATACAAGCAGCAACGAAGGGAGTATAATAACAGTAACAGGACAAAGGCAGCAGCAGATTTACGTAAGCGATGATC